GAAGTTCATGAATACTAGCATAATAATTTATTGACAGAACGACTAAATTTACAGAAGAGACAGAAGAAAAATTACGTAGATTAATTTCATAATTTATCAAGAAAATGGTAAAAACTGAAAATTACCATCGGATTAGAACTATAAGCGATGTTTTGACAAGGTTTCTCCAGATTATATAAGATTACTCTAAATCATCGAATCGGGAAAGCCCGAAGAGGCTACTGATAAATTAAAAATCACTTTCGGACACAAGTACATCGCACTGCTGGTGTGACGTCGCACAGCTGCAAGAGGTGAATGGGCATGTAGGTTTCTTGAACGATAAATTCTTCCCCGGTGTTCAGCCATCCTGATGTAGGTAGACGTTAGGCGACGTCGTTGTGACGAACTCTGGTGGTCTACGACTGTACTATATAGAAAACCAGAAAGAAATAGCTTACTTATGTTTGAATAAGGGATAAATTTGAATATTAATATTGGCGAGTTTATTCGAAAGAATTTCTTAGTATGGATTTCACATCACTGAACAATTTTAGAAGAGCTAAAACAGGCAAAGTGTAAATAATATTTTTTCAGCTATATCAACCCTATGAACAACTTCAAAATATTGCTCAGACATGAACTTCCTTATTTGAGTTATACGGCAACCTTCGATCAACTGATGTTTTAAGTTAGGGTTATGGACCTGTTACTAACTCATTAACTACCCAAGCAATGTATGTCAGTGAAATTTAAATTATCATGCAATTTAAACCAAAATATGAATTGTATACTGTAAATACGCATAGATTGGAGGTAATATTAAATATTTCAGCTAATTTAAATTTTTTCTGAGTCATAATTGCAGTGGTTCATCATCGTTACTAATTTTGACAGAATTGTTCCGTTGATAATGCATGGAGATGTTATGTCAGTAGCAGAATAATATTCCAGACGTTGAAATTAGACAATAGAAAACTTATCATGAACGTCATAAATCTGCACGTTGCCAGTACAATGAATTTAATTATTAAAAGTCAAGTATTTTCAGATTCTAGCAGAGACCTTTTTTACAGATTCTAACAAGACTTTTTTCACACTCCCTACAGAACTACTGCCACACTCGACCACTCGGCCGTTTATTTCTTTCGTGCAAGTCTCCTGGAAAGAGTGCGGCGATTGAACGAAACAAGAAATATCTAATCAACAATCAAGAAGAGCATGTATTTTCATAAATAACTACGATTTTAAAAGACTTTAGCTCTAAAATCAAATAATTATTTAGTTTTTTCTTGAAAATTATAAATTTAAATAATTTCTATCAGTCTAACCTTGTTTTACCATCGAGAGATGCATGTGTATGTGCAATATTTTTTACAACATTTGTTCACTAGTTAATACAAGGGTAATAAACATGATAAGGTTTTTACATAATGTATTTATATAAATAAGAACGAACAGCAGGCAATGCAGAGGTACAAATGTTTTACGACAGCCACACAATCAAAGTATGGGAATTGTAAAGTTACTGAAGTGAATAAAGTGAAGAGATTCATGCCCCATTTAAATGTGTTAATGCTATTCTCAAGAGTTAAACTCTCGCAGGCTTGAGCGTTCGCAAACATGATTTAAAATACATATGCAATGTTGGAGCTTTTTATATATATCATGTAGAGTTTATTAACTGTCCATTTTATGTAAGCTTCGCAATTCAATCTAATTTTTCCCATTATGTTACTTATGAGAAATTTTTTATCAGAACATGATTAATGCAAAGAAATTCTTACATTTAGCTGGAATTAATTTACTGTGCCTAGCTTTGTTCATTAGTTAGAATAAATACATGATACTATGGACATTGCATTTACCTGACGATCTCTTTTTCTTCTGGAGAGTATTTTTTTCTTGTTTTTATTATGATTTTTTGATAAATTCAGAAATAACAGATCGAATATATATAAACATTGATTCGAAAAGTGGCCTAAATGTGAACTGGTTGCTACTAAAGCTAAAATGTTTAATCAGTTGCTTGTTAAATTTCACTAGAAATTATCAATAATTTACATCTGCTTTGACTTAAATTAACATAAGTTCTGGCGGAAATTGATGGCAAATCCGAGGTTTCTCCGGTCATTTCCTTCGTCGACGTCCGTCGTGACGTGGAGCACGTACGGCTGCGCTTTGGCTGCCCAGGCGAAACATTGTTGTTTAGATGGTATCAAATTAAATACAAAAACTAATAANAGCAAAAAATATCAGAATTTTTTTCACCGGAAAGTTATTCGTTTGATAACTTCAACGACTCTAACTTATCTCGAAAAAAATAGAATCGCAGATAACAAGCAAAAAATATCAGAATTTTTTTTCGCCGAAAAATTATTCGTTTGATAACTTCAACGACATTACAAATTCTAACTATTATTCACCTCGAAAAAAAAATTACAATCGCAAATTTCTGTCTCGCAATCATTAAATATCATTATCATACATCGAAGTTACGTGATTAAAAATTAGTCCCTACTTTTGACTTCCGGGAATTTTGTGCCGCAGTAGCGGACTGCGTGGATGGGCGCGTCGCTCGCCTCGTCAACAAAGACGCCTCCGTTGATGCTCACGTAATCCGTCACGCAATTCTCTACTCCAAATTCTGGTACAGCAGGAAACAAGAGTTAAATAGAACATCGATTGTTATAAAATTGCACAAAATTGTAATTAAATCAACCAGGGTAGATCACAAGGGTATAAATTTTCTATCAAAAGAAAGTATCGCAGCACAATATGAATACTATTCTGTAATTCATGTCGCATTTTGAAAAACTTTACGTTAAATAAAAAAAAATATTTACAAAAAAATATCGCTTCAGTTATTATGAGGGACACTCAGGTAAATGAATGGATCGTTTCGTCCAAATTGTTATTCACTTTCTGTACGTGACCCTGAAACGCAATTTTACCAGGCCAAAGAGTTCTTTATATTATATAGTTCCATTTTTACTTAATAATGATGATTTTTTCTGCTTCGAATAACGAAACTGACCGCTCTTGAGTTCTGAGGCCGGGACTGATCCATCACCACTCATTGTGAAGGAGTAAGCGCCGTGAGCTTTACTCTGCGTCCATGTAAGGTCGCAGTAGCCAACTTTTGCGTTGATACAGACTCCGTAGTTGAGGTTCTGGATTTGACGCATATCTGCAAGCGGATTAATTCTGATAGAATTATTTATTTATAGAAGTTGACGGTAAATTGTTTCCTGATTGGTGCAGGTTTTGTTTTTTTATGGTTTATTTCAAATAATATATTCCTAATCAGTATCATTGCATATGTCAGCATGGAAATGCAGCTTCCAAAGCGTTCATGTTTTCATGAGAATTAATGTTTTCAAAGTTTAAAGAAATTTGTCTAGAAACTTTTTGCATTTGTGTAGTTTGGCAGAAGCTGTTCTTTAATGCAGGTTTCATTGAAGACCAGAAAGTATTTCTAATTGACAATTTTCTTATTGTTTTTCTCTATTCGGCGAGTTAGGCTCTTGATAGGAAGTGAAAATCCAAATATCAGGTTTCCAAGGGACATTTTATTATAATTTTACGACGTTTTGAATGCAACTTCATTCATTATCAAGTGAAGGAAGAGTTTCGCTAATGTCATTCCAAAAATTCAAATTCAGTTGTTGCGAAACTCTTCCTCTACTTGATAATGAATGAAGTTGCAATCGAAACGTCGTAAAATTATAATAAAATGTCCCTTGTAAACCTGATATTTGGATTTTCACTTCCTATCAAGAGCCTAATTCGCCGAATAGAGAAAAACAATAAGAAAATTGTCAATAAGAAATACTCTCTGGTCTTCAATGAAACCTGCATTAAAAAATTTTTTGCAATGGGCGGTTTGTCATTTTAAAACAGAATAGCTCGAAACAATATGGATTAAAAAACATAAATATCATTATGAAAACCCTGTTTTTGAAACTTCTGTGTTTAGTGGTTTTGTTCGTATGAATTGAAAGTGTTGCAAAATTATGGATTATGTTATATGGGAAACCAGGAGCTTGAAAATCCCTGTGAAAACGTAACTCAAATTGCTTCAACTTGAAATTTTTTCGCTTTTGTTGTCCTCGGGAGAACTTCCATCGTTGTGGTGTAACTAAAAAAAACTCTAATCTGTCGGTTATTAACATCCATCTCACGAACCACGTCTATTTTCCAGTGCAGCCCAGAAAATATTGAAGCTTATGTATTTGCAGCAGTAGCTAAAGATCATCCTTACAATTTTAGTCGAGTGTTAATTTGCATCAAGTAATTTTTGTATGTACAATGCTCGTTGCATATGACTTAGAAATTGTGAAGAGACCAAATAAACCTTTAGATTGAACATGCAGTGCTCCTAATGCAGAACGGCTTAAATTTAACATCATGCAATTGAGAGGAAACATGTTATGTTTAACGAGTGAGTTGTTTTGCAGGAAATTTATTGTTTGAACTTATCGGGCGTGTGTGGTTCCAGGTAAGATTTGCTGTTAGTAAAGCAATTTTTGTGTGGTTAGTATCAAGAATACCGCACCTTGTTCATACGTTCTCCTTGATCGCTGAGTACGGACTTTATTGTTTGACACTGATTCATCGTTCTCTTGTTCTGATAGTTCTAAAATGTGTTTGTTTTTCAGTTCTATGAATTCCTCCCTACTGAGTAGAACGTTTGAAGAAGATTCGTGCTGACTAGTCTTTATATCGTTTTTGGTTGAACCTGGTCTTAGAGGTTGAGAAGTTCGGCGAGTTGTGGATGTTCTGCTCCAGTACGATGGACCTGCGAACAGTGCAACCATGAAACCGTGACTGCCAAGTCTTCATGTTATTTGTACAGTCTGTTAAATAAATAGATGTTTTTTTTGTGTTTAAAAGCAATGTCACAGAAGAAGTCCTGATATTACACTTGTTCATTGGGAGTTAAGTTGTTCTCTGGATTCTAAAAACTTAAATATACGTAAAACTTTATTGGTGGCTGTTATAAATAGCAACAATTGTACTAAATATGTTTAATTTTTGTAATAATGTTTTCATTATTCTTAACAAAATTTAAAATTATGAATTGAAATCGTATGAATGAGTGTCGACTCATGAATTTGTATGTATTGTTATGAAGCCAAACTATAATATTTGTAATGTGTGCACCAGTTGTACTCTAGTAGAAAAATTACTAAGTTATGAAGTACAATACTTCTTGGCATGGTTACCCAAATAATTCAAAATCACGAGCATTGACCTTAAAATAAGTCAAATTTAGGTTGTTTGTATGTTAATTTTTTGTAATTATTGACAAATAGTAAAGAAAAAAAAGTTGGTTATGTCAGATGCTCTCTTTACTAAACGAAGATGAAATGTCAAAAACATGTTTAGCTATGTGTTGATATGTAAATGACAAATTAAATTCATTTTTAAACCAAGAAAAAATGTAACGCACAATATCCAGTTAAAACAATGTTGATGGCGCGAATACTTGTAATTTGTGGCATTCGTTCCATAACCAATTTCGATCTGTAGTTGGAAATTTACAATGTATGCTAATAACACAACAATATTAACTTATATAAATTCTATCAGTTCAAATTGAAAAAAGACTGATCAATATAAAAACTAGGTTAAATTTTTTGGGAATAATTTACAGTTAAGAATGATTTTAATTTTTATTATGCTTGCACTTATCCCGCAAAAATTAAGGAAAACGTTCAGCTGAAATGTTAGTCAATGTTTACTCGAGACATTTTTTTTCAAACTTACCTTCATCATCAGGAGGATCGATTCCTTTGAAGTTCATACTCTTTACCATGCCTGAGGTCTCATTGAAGAACTGCAAGCAGCCTGCAGGAGCTGTTGAGTTGGAATATACATAAGATCATACGTTAATTTAAATCATAGATATGGATAACTGTAAAATAGTATGAACGGTGCGAGCAACACTTTATATAAAAATTTAATCTGATAATATGGGAACTTGTACATATACAGTACAACTATTACGGTACTAAACTAAACAGGTACATACTGGTAGGTTTATAGTTTAGAGCCAACTAAATTACATTCGTTCTTAGCTCATCGTGGAAGTAAGATTACAGCCTTCGATCGTCAGAAGTTTTATTTCTACATAGTAAATTACGGAGTATTTAATGTTGTGAATTATTTACCTCGGTACGGGGAATTGCAATCAATCTGAGTCACTTTGATGTTCCAGTCTCTCTTCATGTCCAGAGTCTTCGACGTATCCATCGTTAAGATGATCGGACCGCCGCCAGGCTCGGCATTAATGTAAACTGAAACACATTATTGTCTTGAATAAATGAGAATTAAATAAATCAATATCCTAATATAATCCAAATTGTATAAATTAATTCCTATCTCAGGTCTGGTTGCGAGATTTTCTTTCGTCATCTTGGAATGTTCATGAATGATGAAGAATGTTCATATTTGCACACGACGAACACATTACTAGCCTGTACCGCTCTCGCTATGCTACCTCGTGAATTTTTCTGAATTTTTTTTTGCACATGTTCGACAACCTTCAACATAATTCAAATCTTATAAAAATATCCAACTTAATTTTTACGAATTGAACAACAATTAGATAATTTTTGTCGCTTTTCAATACTCACTGTGCTGCCCAGTCAAATCTCCGCAGAGTTTAGGCGCATGCGAGCCTCCAGTGACGCCAAAGAAATCCTCGGTACAGTCAGAGGACGGGTCTGGTTGGGCGATGTTGAAGGAGTCGAAGTCCAGTCTGTACTGACAGATGTTGTTATGTCGAGGGTTCACCGTTAGCTTGCACTCACCAACACCAGGACTTGTCGTCGTGAAGGTTTTGCTCACGAAGTGGCTTACCATCATGTTTGTGGTGCCCGTGCAGCTCTGACTGACTGCAAACATCAACAAAACAGTTAAATTTGATAAGTGTAAGTTTGTAACGAAAAATTTTATAATAATTAGTCAATAGTTATTAGTTACTTGATTATTATTTGCGTTTGACAACTATTTAATTATCGTTAAATCGATATGTTACACGGTACCTAATATGCATGCGATGGGAATATTTTATCTAAAATATTACCTTTTCTATAAACCAGTTACGAAACTAATTTTGAATATGGAACATCTATGATCGATGGATGCTTCTAGAAACACAGAATCATCCCGTGAAATATAACTAATTTAATTTTTACGTCACATGAAAAGTTCAAGAATCGGCAACAGGCTATGGGCCTATTTTTTCAATGCCATATGTGATCGTATGACTCACAGACACAACATGTTCCGAGGCCGCCCCCGCAAGAGCCGTATCCTTCGCCTCCGTAGTAAGGACAGTCAGCTAGCCGCATGCACAAGCCGGTCTTGTAAATATCGTCCTCGGAGGTCTTGCATACCAGGGGGTCTGATCCAATCGCAGGGAACAGGACTGAAGACAAGACGAAAAATAAAATAATTGAAACGTTTGTTGTGATTCATGACCGAAAAGTGAAGTTAAAATAACAACTCTAAATACGACTGAATATAAAAGTGTTCGAAAGTTAAAACGGAAACACTGTAATGATGGCAAGACGGAATATATAAGAATTTATAGATCTTTAATTATACTATTATTTGTTGAAGACATGTCGCTAAAACTAAACCAAGTTTATACGAAGTAACTAAAATCCCAATTAAAGCCATAAATTTAATTTTCAATGAATAAGTCGTGGGATCAATGAGTGCTCTAATATTTATTCATGCAAATCTTGATAAAAATCTCAAGCCTTGTTGCTGTAGGTGAGCTACCACCACAGCCGCGTACAGTTCAAGTCAGCGGGACGTTGCTATTGAAAAGATGTCGCCTTAAAGAGCGATACAGATGTCATGCCCGATAATTGCTGGCACACTAACATCGATATAGCAGATGTTCTCACTTCATAATTAGTAAACATGACTATATGCAACATTTCAGCATGTATGCCTTTAAATTTGTGCAACGATACTGAAACAAAAATAGCGTTAAATAAAAACTTAACTTAATTTACTTCTTACTTGACGAATTAAAATGACGATGAAAAATAATTCCTTAGCAAATGTGCTATTAGAAAATTTTTTTTCTAAAAATGCAGGTGTTTGTATCTACAACTCAGTAACAATAAATCTACTGTCATTCACCCAATTGCATATAACTAACTAATAAAGTTGTTATAACCAACTATTAAAGCTAAAAATGGGTAGGAATTACCAACGTCAGACAGGGCACCTGCGCAAGAACATATTCTATAGAGCTACTTTTTGTTCTCTATCACCCACCTGACATGGCTTCGTTGACGCTCGACTCGCCGAACCAGTAGTAGGGAGCTGCCGGAGAAAACAGAGAAATTAGACCAAATTGCCTCGTTAATGAGGACCAGAGTCTTTCTAGTAGATATTTATTGGCAGAGTTTTTACTCTAGAATTCAGATTATTCAGAATTTTTTAATGAGTTTGATTTGATGATGTTTTGATGATGTCATACACCTGGCTCGAATTCTTAAGAATCGAACACGAAAATTATTCAGTGTTGTTGATTTGTTTAGCTCAGATTAGGGTTGAGTTTATTTCGAATTGAAAGCTTTAAAAATGAGTTCTAATTATAAATTAATGGCCCGCTTGAAATAAAAATGACTTCATGGGACTGTGTCATCAAATTTTGCTGTTGGGATGAAGATCCTCTACAATGAAGCCATGATTATCAATGTTTAAAAATTGTACAAAGAGAGTTAAATTATTATCAAATGTGCTTCTAATTATTCAAGTGTTCTTACACAGTTTCATACGATATTGCATACTTCCAGTACCTATATCTGCGGAAGTTTATTCCTTCGGTCCGGTATTCAAAAGGCCGGAGGACTGGTAACCTGTAAAGTGACCTATTTGTTGCCTAGTATGTAGGACACCTTCGTTACCTCAGGATAAATCCTTCGACTGGAGCCCGTTGGAACTTTTGCTACTCCTACGGCAGAAACATTTTTTTTCAGGTCATGCCGTGGCAAAAACTTGACCAGCGCTAAACAATAAAAACCATAGTTGGCTGGTTGCAAAGCCGGATGACCGACTGAGACAGAAACTCTCCCCTGGAAAACTTAAAGTTTTTGTCCAAATTCCGCCCAGTGTCGCCGAGAATTGGAAAACAGGATTCTAAACTTATCGTTCGATGCTGGTTCGTCTGGACGAAAGTTGTACATCAGTCATAAAACTTTTGAATTTTTGTACATTCAAAATTTGAAAATATTGCCTAAGTATATAAAATATATGAACGAGTTATTGAAAAATAATTTGTTTATTGAAAACAAAAAATATCATCACCAGATTTGACTTTTTATCCTGCTGAGAAATTATATCCCTCATTTCAAATTCACAGTGCACAGAACTATGTCGTGGGATAGAAATTTTAGGTTGAATGAGTTCGTTAATATCCGGATAAGTTATTTAAAAATATTATTAATTTGCCCAATTCCATAAATCTAGCAAGAATCGTGACTAGAAAGCCGCGCTCATCCATATATACATGATTCAGACAATAATGCAGTAAGTGCCAAATGAATCAGCAATTCTAAAGCCTGATCGGGAGTTAAGCTTTCCTTCTCGTCAAATTTGACACTTGAGTGTGAAAATCATGGATGGAATACTGAGAGATCCCTTACAATAGCACTGCAAATCAAAGAATTTAGAGGTCTTTAATCGCGACCGAGAATTTTAATAATACGGGAAGATTGGTCGACTATATTGAGCTCATTAAAGTATCCGACTTCAAGTGAAATTCTATTAAGAAATGTCGCTACATCAATGTAAAACTATGTCATATGAACCCATGCAACATTCAAGGCTAGGCCACCACTTAAAGCATTAATAATTTGAATTGACGTCCAACTCTAGTACAAAATATAAATGCATCCGATGAAGTTTGATGAGTGAAGACTATCCAATGAATCGTGGTTACTTTGTAAAAAAGTTATTTGAATTTATTTCTTAAGATGAACATCAAAAAACATTGGAAAATAGTCTAGTTTCTCCGAGAAAAGAAGTTAGAAATGCAGTATAAGCAATTTCAGCACATAAAATAGCTTTGTACTCATAACGTAGTGCATATAATAACATGGAAATTTTTCAAATATACTATAGAGATGATTAATTAATCATTATCTATCCTGCGAATAGACATTCCTAAATCCTCTAATTTAACGTTAGACACCGCAAATTGAAATTGGAGATTTATTTGAAAAATAACGAAAGATGTGTCAAATTACATAACAATTTCTCGCAATGCCTACAGCGCAATGACAATCGTGTTTCAATCAATAAATTTACATGTTGTTTATTGCCCTTAAATCACTTATTCGCTTATTTATTCCCGTTAACTGAGAGAAAGTTTTTCCCATTCACTTAATTTCAATAATGCAAGAAAATGCGGCCATTCTATAACTTCGGTAGAAAGGTGGGATTAACGCTCATAAAAAAGATGTTTATATGACAAACGTGTGCTACTTACGGGTTCGCATATTGAGGACGCAATAAGACCAGTTGCTAACTCGGATATATTTTTTTAAAGGTGCTGAGGGATTAGACAAGCTACCGGCACTTAAATTTAGGCAATAAAAATGTGAAATTATGAATTATTGTTACTGTCAATAGTTTCTTATAAATGTCTAATAATCCTTCATTTCATTAAATGAAGGACTAATTCCAATCTTATACTAAATCTCTCTGCAAGGAAAGAAGAGATCAAATATTAGCTTTAAAATAATAAAAAGCTTGTTAAACTCAGATGCTCGATAAATGAAATATCATATGTTTTTTATTCAGAGTATGAAATTATCTCGCCTTTATCTCTGTTCAATTCAATTACATTACCATCTGGATCGTCGAATATTTATTTCCTTTTCAAGGAAGTAATTTACATTGATCGTGCACTTACTCGACTGTACATCGTATTCAGGTAACAAAAATACCATAAAGTATTGGTAAATGAACATTCGCGGAAATAATGGAATTCGTGTATTGTCCAGATAATTTTATTATTCAGTTAATATCAGACTACCTGAAAAATTTATGAAAGAATTTATTCGTAAAGTACCCAAACGAAAAGTATTGCGCTACTCTCACGACTGCAATCGAAATCACCGACAGTTCGAGGAGTTTACTAATTCATTCAGAACAAGCAACTGGTGAGAAAACATTCCTAGCGAGAAATTAATTTTTTTCTTTAAACTAATGTATTAAAGCCATTTATAGATAACTTGTTGATAAATATAAATAGAACAAATTTGCTATAAATGAGCTACGGAAGTATAATGTCCGTTTCACGTTTCGCATTCATGAGGAATTTCGCCTAAATATTCTTGTGTAATGAGTGAAATTCTTTGTATTGAGTGCAGGCAGCTCGGTATGCCTGAGTCTGTTCCAGTCATGCCCCCAAGCCTGGAGACGGCAAAGCAACGGTGTATTTTTTTTCATCCAGCCGGCTGGCTTAGAAGCCTTACGAAAATGTATTGTCGGTCTAATTTTTAATTTGCATGGAGAGAGATGCATGCTATACACATTCTTTTGTTCATTGTTACTTGCAAGATGAAGTTATAAATAATCTTAGAGTCATTGTCACAGGCATAATGCATGTTATAGTTACTCTTTATTTCACCGTCATGATCAATATACAAGCTACTGATACACCTTCTCACTGTCATATGTGATCAAATTTGCAGTTCTCTTCAATAAACATAATATTTCTCACATGTATCTAATGAACTTAAATTTCTCAACTAGATGATATCACAATTATTTTAGCTCCAAGTCATGCATTGGTAGTACTTCGGGGTTTGATTTAACTATCAGTTTGGCCGAAGATATATATCCAGTGATACTAACATCTAGGAGTCTATGAGTTTGAAGGTATGTTTGTAAAATGTTTGAACTGTGTTATTGAGCGATGCTGAATATCTGTGTAAGGATTATCATGAATTGTGCATAAAACAGCCATTCTCTAATCCAAATAATTCATTTAAGTTGCGTTAGCACACGTTTCAATTGGCTTAAATAATTAAGGTGCTCACCCTGACCACATCATGGGATGGATGATCTTCGTGTTTATGGAAATTCAGTTCCGTCGCATAGATCACCGCATTGCGTTGTGTGGATTATAGGGTACGAACGATTTAGAATATCTGGGGTTCCCCAAAGTCAAATTTCTAGCCCCGGTAATATCGCAACACGACTTGTATCACAACTTTTATCGCGTTCCATGTTCGAAATAAATTATTTTACTTCCTGGTCATACCTTATGTGCAATACTAATTTTACGTAACCATTTTTTACCTTTGTATATTGTTTTGTTTACAGAAACAGATTTTATAAAGAAAATGGAACGAAAAATCGTGTATTCAAATCTTTTGCCTAACGAATATACGTAACAACACGCATTTTTTTCATTTCTGCTTCATTTTTTTTGGCCACTATGTGCCAACTCTTGTTCTCTTCCTCTCTTTCCCAGTGCCACCGCACCACCACAAACACACACCCATAAATTAACAACTTTTAATAACAACATAAAAAACTTAACAACATAAATAAACAACTTTTATAAATATTAATACCAATATTAGACTCACACCATGGTGACTGTGAGGCAGGTTCAGTGCCTGAAGGACCGACTCCGGTCTGCCTCGCCGTGCCGACGTCGTCTTCTCGCCAGACGCTCGCCGCTGCACCGGCCACCAGCGCCCACGTCAACACTGCTCGGATCGTCACACGCCGGCTCTGCGAGACATCAACAGAAATTATTATTATTTATAATCAAGATTCCAAAACAATTTGGAATTATTTCATACCAATGTGTAAACATTGAATATCAAATGGAATATTTACAGTATATTATTTTTACTTAGCATCACTCGCGATTTTTCCTTTTGCGATGAAGATAATGATTTTTCCTTATCTTCATCGAATTAAGAGAGGAATTAATAATGCGGTCAAAAAAATTAACAATGCGGCCAGGAAAAATAATGCGATCAAAGTCAGGAATTAATAATGCGGCTTTGTTATGTTACAATGATAACGAACCGTCTATCCTCCACAGTATCACATCAATGAAAATTTATTTCAACAGTTTTTACTGCCTTCTGAGCCATGCATGCTTAGCCGTAACACAAACGCCGTAATTTTACAATTAAAAATTAAAAAGATGATTAATGATCTTGATTTCGTACTTCTGAAAGGAGTACGTATAAAATCATCCAATTATTATGATATTCTTTAAAGTTTTTATTTTTATGCATTGTTCAGGCTTGAAATTAAATGTATGTATGAATATTTAACTAGGAATGCTAGGTTTATAATTTATGCAAAACATTGGTTCGAAATCGGCGAAGCACTGAGAGTTGTTTACAATAGTTGATAAGATTACAAGGGAAAACATTTTCAAGTGCTTTTATCGTGGCTTTTGTTCATTAAAGAGCCGATTAAAGCGTCAATCATTTCTTTTCACGGATCAGTAGTGAAGGTAATACCGTTAATACCTCTTAAACTGGTAGTATGTTGCCTGTTTAATGCACGCTGACGAAAAAAATAATCTTTATGTGGCAATATTTTTAACCACATAGAATGAATGGAAACTAAAAATTGTCAATGGGCTTATTGACAATTGGGCAACGGAAATGCTATATATATATATATATATTTTGGTAACTGTCACTGCATTTCACAATGATTGTTCCGTCACTGCATAGCCTCAGCGTAATGAACTTGAAACGTTTGTCGTTACCAACCTCCATTTGTGCGTTGAGACGAAGATCTGCGTGTAAATGGGTCACAGAGAAGCTTTTATACCTACTTACGGCACACAGCTGAAGTTTCAACTTTTTTCCGGAGTTACTCGTGCTCAGACTGTATTTTCGCCGGAGCATGCGTGCGAATATTTTGTTGTACTGCATTCGCTCTCACTGAATCGTTTCCTGTTATTTATTAAGCCAACTGTCGTATTTCTTCCTACTCATGTTTTGGTTAAGTTCATGTCCAATTGAAAAGTTTTTTTTAGCGGAAATACTCGAAAATTTTAAAGTATTCGTCTTTTTTTGGCTGGCACAATTCGCTAACATCGTCCGGTCTCTTCCATGTGCAATTACTGCAAGTTAATATAAAATTTTACGAATAAATCTTTTGAGCTGGACCTGTAATTTTCAAGTTTTTATAATCAGAGTTTAAGTGATGGAATATTGTTATATGCTTCCATTTTCTCTGATCTGCCGAAAAGAATGCATAACTTTGAATTTCATAAACAAATTTGTGTGAATCACATTCAAACTAAACAAATAGCGAGAAAATTACTTCAGTATCCTACTCACCTATTAACAATAACGTTATAATGTTCGACTAAGGGCTTCTACTCGAATAAATTTTCTAGTGTACTAAACCTGACCTGAATTACGCCCGCGAAATGAATGCCCCAACTTTCATTTCATGAATGTGACAAAGTAAAGCCCCGCTGCGCGCTGCCGTAGAATTTAGGGTATAGCTTCTTTCTACGAGCGGTTACGCATCTCTGAATCTCAACATCACAATGGCATATATATTAGATTCTGATATCAGTGAGAGTTCAAAAATCTAAACCTTATTTAGATTTCGGATTGATTCTATATGAGGTTAACTAAATTCCCTTGCATGTAGAAACATTTACATTTTTAATGTAAAACATTATTTTACACATAAATGTTGCAGCAAATGCTTGCTCAAGCAGTACGCATATTGCTATCATGAACGGTAACAATTTGAATGGTTCAGTGCATACGAAAGAACGGAGAAATAAGTGCTTAATCTCATCTTGTCGCAATATTTATAAATGGCATGTGCTAGTAAAAAATATATAGGTATAAGATATAAGAATCATGATACTGGGTTTGCTTTTCCACTCTAAATAAACTAAATATGTAGGAAAGTGTGTCATTCAATATCTTAATTTCGGTGAAAAAGTATCAGTGAAAACTTGTGCTTGATGATTTCAGAAACTGGTAAAATATGTTCCTGGTTGGAATGTTGGTTGAATGTTTAAAATGAGACAAGCTACGTTTGTAATATTTACGAGCTGATGAAATATTGTTGAAGTATTCATAACATGAGCGGGCTAAATGCTCGGCCTCCTCAATAAATGTATTTAAAATTATCTCGCGTTAATACCGTAAATTATTTATTTTTCATCACTTCATCCACTTAAGCCGTATCATGACGTTTGCAGTTGTGATAGTTGTTGGCATGACTTTTCATTTGTGCCCGCTCTTTCAATGAACGAATTCCATGTAGTTTTTAAAGCTAATATATCAGATTTCTCGTCGAAACATCACAGATGGCATCAAGATTAAAGTCAAAATACTTATTAGTTACTTTTTTTATTTTCTATCTCTGGTCATCGTATCATCTGTAGAATTATTTAATACTTATTCTGCCTCATTTTGCTATAGGTGCTCTCATAACTATCAATAATTCAATATTCATAATTATAATTAGATTGATACCTACTAATTTCTACGGACAAGTAGCAATAGCGTAAATTCGTAATTCAAAACGCGTAAGTTAGAGATGCTGTCCAATCATCAGGAGTTTAATGTTATCGTCGAATCATGAAATAAATTACCCGTTCTATTATTGTATACGCCCAAAGTATTGAGAGCGTTTTTATACACGCGCCTCAAATTAAGAGAAATCCCTGAAAAAAAAATTGGGGTAAATTGGGAGATTCGACTTCGAGGCACCAGGGCTTTCACTGCGGCCTTGCCGAACTTTTTTGGTGCTCTATAATCAGGGCACTCTTTTTGATTGAGGTTTCAAATAAGCGCTCAATTCAAAATTTAGATATAAATTAAAGCGAACACTTCATGGCTATGACATCAAGCATATGCACACTTTATAATTAATATATTAAAATTGCATGCACTCTGTGATTGAGATAAAAAGAGTGCGCATATAAATTTTATGATTAGGTTAGCAATTGAATACGCACTTAATTTATGACGAAGATAACAGACGTTCACAAAATTTAGGATTGAGATTTAAACGTGCCGACACTTTATGATTATGATATCATATATGCGTACACTTGATAATCAAGATATCAAACGAGCGAACACTCGAGGGAAAATGGTATCGAATGTAGTTAGAGCTTTCGAATTAAATGGTTATTCCAAATGAACGCATAATTAATGTTAAAAATTTCAAATGAACGAACAATTTCTGATTAAGCTCTTTATTTGCCAATATGCGCATTGTGGAAAACGAAGCAATGAAGCTCTTCGCGATATAGTTTTTTTTATCTCTGTTAATTTTCGTGTGTTTAGTGATTTAAATGTTAAGCGAATTATTTTGCAGGAAGAACTATTATGATTGATGCATAAAATTATTTTTCGGGTGATACATTTCAATCAAGTAAATCTTGTGTTATAATGTATAGATCTACCAAATCCCAAATGACTGTAAGTACCTGCGGCGGTACTATCAAAACTCACCCAAGTACACGTAGCGGTCGTTTTCTCGTCTGTGATTGGTGGACTTAGTTTTAAGTGCTGTCATTGATTGGATGACTGAGTTACAAGCTCTCAACTATTTTTGACATTATGGACCCTGGACCCAATCTACGATGCTTGTGAGGTCCGGAGTTCAACAGTCAATTCGGTTCAGTGGGCCTGGTGGCAAGAGCCCAGATATATGGGGTGCAAAAACTTCGTTTTCTCCTAAAGCCGGATACGGATAGTTGCGCCAGAATCTTAGGAACAGTATACTGGATGAAAGCTTTCGACGAGAATAATAATACGCTGTTTCTCAGGGTTTGGAGACTTGGGATGCAAATATTTAGGCGTAGTTTGATTTTATGAATGAAACAAATGCATATTTCAACAATAGTATATATTCACCGCAGTCTGTATTTTTTCACTAAATAGTTCTGCACATGTGTACAGTTATTCTAAAAACATATTTTGGTGTTCTATACGCGTATAAAACATTAGCTGAAATGAAAATTGTGAATACCCATTAATCTTACAAATAGAAGTAGAATAATCGTTTATGTCCTACAATCCATTCATTGATTAGAACATCAATTAATGCATACCGTGATGTTTAATGCATACCATCGAAAGTTTTTTTCTTCGTGATTACTTTATATTGGAAATCATCTACGCTTAATATGTTTGTCGTTAGCTCCTGTTGTAAAATACCTTAGTTGACACTCTAAACAATTTCGCCTTTAATATTTTTTCTAGGCATTTTTTTCGACGGCCAATAAATAATAGCGATCGGGATAGCTGAGGTTCTCATAGACGCGAGGTTGAATTCACGTATCATAATATCCCTAATATATTTACCGCGATAAAAAATTTGAATTTGTTCTGTATTAGAACTAGAATATAAAACGCGGGAATTTATTCAAAGTTTCTCGTTTTCGTTTCTTGACTAAAATATATCATTTTAATCGCCGACTATTAAATATATTAGGGATATTATGATACGTGAATTCAACCTCGCGTCTATGAGAACCTCAGCCATCCCTATCGCATTTCTTTATAGGCCGTCGAAAAAAAATTCCTATGAGAAAAATTCAGTTCAAAATTGGGGATGAAATCAGTTGAACTATGGAAATTCATTCTGCGTCCTATGATTATAATCGTTGTCGGCTATTCGGTTGTCGGCTATTCAACATATAGTTCAATCTTGATATATTATTTTATTGTGGATGAGATCGAGCAATTTTGTGTTTGGAAAAAGAACAAGTAATTGACGAGTTGTCGGTTTTAGTTCAGCTCAAATATTTTAAATTATTTTTCGAATGAAAATGTTCTAATTTTATAACGTAAAATATCTTTCATTGATATCATTGTTCGTGATAGCGATAAAAAAAATTGTAGATGAAATAGTTTAATCTCATAGGTTGGATTAAAACTACAAATGAGTTCCGTTCATGTTTTGATGAAAGAAAACACTTTAACAGCACATAATACCTTCAGCATCTTAAGCACTAAAAGTTCACTCTATAGAGCGAATAACAATATTATTATTAGCAACAACAAATAAATAGGTATATTTCCTGCATTATAAGTATTGAATGTATATTGTCATAAAGTTTAATTCTAATTCAACGATCTTAGTTAAACTGCAAAATTCCAGTACATTATTAACCATCAACTCCTCAATCAAACAACAGAGTATCATAAATTAGGGTCTTCTTATTTTCATTTTTTTTGGTTAAACCAAGAAGTTAAATAATTTTTTCTGTTTACTTACCGCTACAAAAAAATGAGACAACTAACAACGCCATAATATTGAAATTTCGTAGTAGAAATTCATCAGCACTTTTTTCCAACGCAGCGTAAAAATCATTATGCTTTTTGATCAGTGATTTTAAACATATAAAAACGCGAAAACTGTTTTTTTAGTAAGTGAAAAGACGCCGCGCGATGTTTAATTAAGAATTGCACAAGTTCTGACGGAAGTTCAACTCGAATCCGAAATTTTCTTTGTCGCCCTCCTCATCAACGTCGGTCACGACGTGCAGAGTGTAAGGCTGAGACGCAGCTGAAATGATATTAAAATTAGTGCAGGAAAATTTGTTCCATTTTTTCGTACTCATGCAATTTAGAAAACAGCTATCTCATACATTTTATATTGACAACATTTTAACATAAATTGTGACGTAGAACAAAATTTTGCAATATTATTCGAATAGATTATTGATTTTCAAATGAAATATTATCACACTTTAAGAAACAGTGTTTTCTGGGTGACTTTAACTTCAAATATCAGTACTTTTTCAAAGAATCAGAATACTAGGACTCATTTTAACTCCAATGATCATACAGTACTCCGAATCATTCAAGTATGAATATCAGTAGTACGAATGAATTTTCACCCCAAAGATCGGTACTGTCGACTCATTTTAATTCCGAAAATCTATACTACAAGTCATTATTTGCAACAAATATCAATACAACGATAAATATTACGTGTAATAAACAGTACAACGACTCATTTAACTCTAATAAACAGTGCTGGGAATAATTTTTTTCACCAAAGTTCAGTACTGCGACTCACTTTTGACCTCAGGGAACTTGGTGCCGCAGAAACGCTCAGCAGGTCTAGTAGTTCTGGCGTCGGTCTCCACGTAACCTCCTGGGATGGTGATGAAGTCGGAGGTGCATTCTGTTGTGCCGGACTCTGGAATTTCATCATAAATTGACAATATTAGAATAAATTACAGAAAAACTCAAAGTTTTTGATTATATCGATATTCATGTTTTTTTAAATAAATTTATCGTCAGGCGGGTCACATAGAGGTAAATATTTTAAATTATTTATTTCGTTGAAAGATCACCATAGCCTCACCTTAAGATTATAGACAGTGTTTGTCCTAAAACATATTGCATTTTTAGGTTTTGTTTTAAAATAATTAGAAACCGATTCAATTGCTTTTTCACGCGAATCGTGGCATACTCTTCAATTCAATATTATAACAGCTATTCATATTTAATGAAAATGGCAACCGGGGAAATTTGAGAAAATTGAATTTGAATTTTCCGAGCAAACTCACTTGATGTGAACTGCTCGCTGGGTACAGACGCGTCTCCAGAAATAGTGAAGGTGAAATCACTGCGAGGATTTTGGTTCCATGTGACATCGCAATACCCGACCTTTGAGTTGATGCACACACCGTAGTTCATGTTCTGTAGCTCACCAGGCCCTGAAAGTTAATAATTATATACGATTATATAACAATAATAATACACATTTTTTAATAGTATGAATAATATTTTTCCTATTAGAATTAAATAAAGATAATGATATGAATAGAGGAGTTCATATGAGTAAGCTTTCATCGAAATTTTAGACGGATTTGTGCATATTGTGATTGCCACCTTATCGTACAACTGAATATCTGTGGGAAAACATCTTAAATAAAATTTTATTCTGGGAATAAGAAGTTGAAACTCATGAAATTTAAATAAATTAAATCGCCCAAATTGAATTAAATTGAAAAAATAGTTATATGAATTACTATACAGGTGCGATTGTCAAAGACAAGAATATTTGAAAAATATTGAAAAAAATATGACAAGAATATTTGAAAATTCTTAACATCGCACACCTTCGCCCGCAATAAACGCGTTTTGACGGCGGAAGTTGAAGCTCTTGACGCTGCCGGAAGTTTCGTTGAAGAACTGCAGGCATCCAGCGGGTGCTGAAAATATAATTGAATTAATCCATCGATTCGAAAGTAAAAAGATGTTTTGCCTGTTGGTCATGGGCAGTAAAAGCCATGATTATAAAAATATAATTCAAATTTCCACTCACGTTTAACACTGTATGGTAAATTTATTCGATATGTCTTTAGTTTAAAATGCAATCAAACAAGGAAATATTTTTAGATCCGTCACTCCTATTGAGTTTATCTTAGGCGGATGTCGAATGCCAATTTTATTCAACATGATTTTGAGTAGAATTTCTAGGTAAAATATATGGGAGCTAAATTAGAATATAATGCAGTTGTATAGTAAAACGGTAAAATACTTTACAAAATGACCCTTTATTTTCTCAAATGTTCACCTCGATCTGGGGAGTTGCAGCTAATTTGAGTGATTTTGATGTCCCACTTTCTGCCCATGGTTCGGACGCTGGATGTGTCCATGGTGAGTACGATAGGGCCACCGCCAGGCTTTACGTTGATGTACACTGACGAACACAAAAAAAAACATTCAATAGACGGATCAACATTAAAATTTGTTGTAAACTTGCTTATTAGTACAAATGAGAAAGTTCTATTATTGGGGTGACAGAAAAAATATAAAGATATTGATAATTAGTAGTGAGCCGTCTTGGTTCTTCCAGCATCTATTACCTAAATGATATAAAACTACACCTGCAAGACTCTCTTTGAATGAAGCACGTGTTCATATATAAAAAAGTTACTAACTTTGCTGACCGGTCTTATGTCCACAGATTTTCAATTACCGAAAAAAAATTTAGATCATCATTTTCCTTAAATGAACAACGAATGAAATCAATAAAGAACACAATGTGCTAGCCGATCAAATTTCCACAGATTTGTGATTCCCAAGAAAAAAAAACTACGTAATTCTCTTAAAATGTAGCATAAATCCATTTTAAAAAGATTAGAAAAACTCACTGTGCTGGCCAGTCAGATCTCCACAGACTTTAGGTGTGTATGAGCCTCCAGTGACGCCGAAGAAATCATCGACGCAGTTGGAGCTCGCGTCCGGACCGATGATACTGAAGGCGTCGAAGTCGAGGCGGTATTGACAGATGTTAGAGTTCATGGGGTTGACTGTGAGCTTGCACTCTCCGGAGCCCTTGTCAACCGACGAGAAAGTGCTGCTTACGAAGTGGCTGATGAACATGTCCGTGGTTTCGCCGCATTTCTTTGCGACTGAAACAGTGAAAGTGATCTATTAATTTATGATGAAACCAAATTTATTTTATTATCAGGAATTTACTTATTCATGAGGAAACAAAATTAATTTATTTATCAGTGAAGCAGGATTTTGTGATAGAGAAAATAATGCGTTGAAAATTTGAATACTTAGTAAGATTTACGACAAATCGGGGATTAAGTAATTACGTAATCCGCTAATAACAATGCATTAAGTAATTGCTTAATCACGAAATAGCAATGATGAGGTAATTACTTAATCACCATTTAATAAATTATTTAAATTACTTAATGACAACGCATCTAGTAAAGTAAAGCACAAGGAGCTGGCACCAACAAAAGTCATAGGCAAAATCCAATACACAGAATAGACAAATAACTTTTGAATTATTTTGATATTCTGTATGATATATGATATCATTATATATGTATATATAGTCAATGATATGTTTCCTCTCATCACTATAAATGACCATCATATATTAAATCACTCAAAAAAATGGCTCATATTGTACAAATACTGACACCCTTTCTGCATGTAGCACTATTAAATCCTTATACCAAACAAAACTGATTCAGGATGACCCACACATTGCGTTAAAAATGCATAGCTATTCGGACAATGTCTCTCAATTCTTCTGAGTGTGCATTAGTGTCTCAATTTCACTGAATATACTCGGGATCTCTTGGTACCAGGCCCTTTATGTACGAATAGCATTGTAGATGGTAAATGTATCTGTATTTAATATGACACTCACAGACGCAGCACGAGCCGATTCCTCCACCACAGGCGCCGAAGCTCTCGCCGCGGTAGTAGAGGCAGTCGGTGACGCGCAGGCAGATGCCCGCATTGTAGTTGTCATCGTTGGTTGTCTTGCAGATCAGCGGGTCCAGGCCCGACACCGGGAATAAAACTGCACGAAGCGATGTAAATTAAAATGCATTTAATTGAAGGAAATAGCGAAAAATGCTTCATAGAAAACAGCATGGAAAACAAATAACATTGAATTTGAAGTAGGAAGACACCGGGAATAAAACTGCACGAAGCGATGTAAATTAAAATGCATTTAATTGAAGGAAATAGCAAAAAATGCTTAATAGAAAACAGCATGGAAAACAAATAACATTGAATTTGAAGTAGGAAGACACCGGGAATATAACTGCACGGAGTGATGTAAAAGTAGAATGCATTAAGTTGTAGGAAATCGTGAAAAATACTTCTTAGAAAACAGCATGGAAGNATCGATAAATATTCGAAAGCCCATCGGATTCAAGCTGTATTAAAGCTGTCTCTTATACACATCTAGATGTGTATAAGAGACAGCTTGTGAACGATGCTACACTAAAAAATCATGGAAGGCAAATAACATTGAATTTGAACTAGGAACTTGTGAACGATGCTACACTAAAAAATCATGGAAGGCAAATAACATTGAATTTGAACTAGGAAGTTTTGAACGATGCTACATTAAAAAATCATGGAAGGCAAAAATCATTCAATTTGAACTAGGAACTTGTGAACGATGCTACACTAAAAAATCATGGAAGGCAAATAACATTGAATTTGGATTAGGAAGTTGTGAACGATGCTACACTAAAAAATCATGGAAGGCAAATGACATTGAATTTGAATGAGAAGAGTGCTTAAAATAAGAGATGCTAAAGAAGAATGTTATTAATTGTAGGTCTTTGTAAAAGATGCTCCGTTAAAACAGTATGCACGGCAAATAAAATGGAATTTAAAAGAGTTTTTTTGTATTAATAAAAAAGGAGGTGGAAGGAGGATGAAAATTAAATGTGAAATGTTTTGATCGGTTGAAAAATATATGTTTACAAACATATTATGAATAATAATGAATGTCATGAGCGGATTAATGCTTTAATTTAAAATTAGAGTTCATTCAACATTGAAGTATCACTATTAACGGCTTGTTAATAGTTAATAGGGATCAAAGTTTTTATGAAATTTACCGACCTGAGAAAGCCTCGGACACGCTGTTTTGTCGCAGCCATGAGAGTCCTCCAGCTGTGGAATACAAATATGATAAGTTAACTTTACGGCTATAAACTCGATATAAATCTCAATCAGACTGGTTTCTGGAATTTCCTAGAGAAATTCATTTTTTCAAACATAACTCAAATCCAAACCGGTAATTTAGATTTTCAATACATCTTTTTATATTAAGGCTTTATAATATTTATAATTCCTGAGTTTTTTTAATTTTTAAGCATTTTTCCCAACCGGCAAAGCATATCCAATTAAGAATAAACTTTGATGTTATTCCCTTTCAATCAAGTTTTGATTTACATGCATTCCTGTCATAAGACTTTTCATTCTAACGTGACATTGGATCTAGAAAATAATGTATATATATAACAAATATAATATACATGTATAATGTATATATAATATTATGTATATATATAACTTATTTCACGATAATGTCTAATGATTGAGACCCACAGCTGGAGTCAGAGGTCGACTGTCTTTGTTGTTCTGCAGCGAGCTGTCTGGCTGCCTCGTACGCCCCTCTGGGCACCAGCACATCAGCAGCGGCAGGAGCGGCAGGCTTAATCTCCTCGGCCGGCACAGTTCCGGCCGTCACCGAGCCCACCAGCAGCGTAACCAAAAGCATCGATCCCAACATGACGGCCGAGCTCGTCTGAAGAGAAATTGTCCAGAAATTATTTTGAAATATACAATAATAAATATTTGTTTAAAATATTACCTAATAAGATCGCCGACAATTTTTCTTAAATTTAAGCAATTACAGTCGATGCATTGCTTCAAATCTATTTGAATGGTATAATTTAAAATGATGAAAATTCAATAGCTGAATTGTATGAAAATGCAATATTTATGCCTGAAGGAATTTTTAGCAAAGTCATGGTTTTTATGTTCAGCCAGAGCTATTCCTTGCACCGGAGACTTTACTCACTAAATGTTGCGACGCAAGTATATGTGCTATCATCGAAATTTTTTGCATGCATCTTTTATTAGAAGTGATAGGGTATCATTGTGAAATCAATTTCATCATTAAAGTGAAAATTTTGGTTGTTTTTTTAATAAAAATTTGCTCGTTATTCGTCAACTTAGGAGGACCGCACCACAACAAAAATTATGTCCAGGAATATTTGATTGAAAGACATTTTAACAAACTTGATTCAGAATCTGAATTTTGTATTTTAACAAGTCTGTGATAACAAAATGAACCATTGATTAATGAAACACTCCTGCTACTTTGTCCAGAATCTGAATAATCAATGAAATAATGATAAATTCGCAATTCTTTCCATTCCACTTAACTATAATTTCTTGATTGAAGGTACCAAATTATCCTAAAAAAGTTCAACTCAAGGCAAGGCTTGCTCTCTGAACCATGATGGGAAACTTGAAAATTTATTCCATTGTACGTAATGAGTAATCAATGAAATCATGATAAATTTACAATTCTTTCCCTTCCACTTAACTATATTTTCTTGAATTTACGACATTATTCTAAAAATATTCAACTCGCTACAAAGCTTGCTCTCTGAACCATGATGGGAAACTTGAAATTTTATTCCATTCTACGTAACCTTTGCCCCGAGAAAGAGATGAGAACCAAGCTAGAACGTGGGAGAATGTCTTCAGGAGAAAGCTGCGAGAAAGTTAAGCCGTACAAAGGACTCGGTTCTTCCAGGGCACGAAAAACAAGTTCACGCGAGACCCCAAGTTGCCTGCGCGGGACGCCTTGGTTCAAATGCCGTGACCTCTTACACCGATATACGTTCACCGATTGTATTGCGAACAACGAATAAATTCAAGTGCATATTGAACGCGTGCAAAATAAAATGTAATAATAATTTCACAGTCATTATTGTGAATAATGATTCTATTGAATTTAGAACGAAAATACACTTTTATATTAGGTGTCCGATCAACTGCAGGCAACATAATGAATTATTAAAAAAAAAGAAATCCTTACTAGTGAGAAAATAAGACTTTCTCGGAACTAATTTCAGATTAATAACAGAATTATTTATTTAATTACTGATTTATTTCGTTTTAGGTAGGAAATCATGACAAGGAGTAACATCCGCAATAGCTGAATTTTAGTTATTTAACCCTCTTACTAAACGAAATTACTATTTATTATACAAATTCAAATTATATTTTGAATCTTTAATCCTCTCAATAATTTTTGATTAAAAAATTGGCAGTTTTCTTCGACTGCAGAATTGTTAGGAAACTTGAAAACTTTTTCTTTTCATCTTGTAAGGGTTCCTTTGGAATTGCATCCTGTGAGAGGGCAAGTCTTGAAAAAGTGTCGAATTTTCATAATCATTCCCTCAGTCTACTGCTTTTCCGTTTCTGCAGTGCCCGTGAACATCGTTTCAAGTATGTACGTGGATATAAAGAACAAGTGAGAATTGCTATATATAATCAATTTTAAATCTTAGTCATTTCTTGGAGAATTTCAAGCATCGTAAAGTTCCAAGATCCGCCGTTTATATATTCCTGCACGGCCTATGAAAATTCGACGCTGCTGTCAATTGCAGAGAGCAAATAATTTTTTCGGTCTCAATGTGTGCATCGGGAAATATAGAAAAAACGGCTCCCAACGCAGTCGCGAAAGTGGATGTTTAAATACTGCAACTATTTGGTTGCAAAATTGCTAAAAAGTAAATGAACAATTTTCATATTTTTCTGATCATACTTCTTCATCTGTGAACTGGACTACTAATAAAACCGGTCTGTGTAGACATGACTTTTGAAAGTGACACACTTCTTACTTTTAGTTTAATAGATCACAGCATGTGAACCCTTGGCAGCAATGCTACCGACTTCTAAATTGAAAGGTAGTTTCTCTCGTTACCGGATCAATTGAGGGTGGTTCTAAACTTTTCATTCGCGAATTACGTCATTTCTAATATTTACATGAAATTTAATCCCTATTTGATATGTACATGATATTTAATTCCCATCTGTTTCTTTTTGACCCCTAATTGCTTCAGAAAAATTTGATTTTTTTTAATTTACGAACGATTATAAACATCTGCCCAATTATGTATCTATCAATCAGTCCAGGGTTTGTGGAGTAGGATAATAATTAGTGAATTAAGACGCAGCCAATAATTTTGAAACTTGCTGTTAGCAAGCGACTTTTTTCGCACTTCGTTTGCATTAAAAAGCCATCGAAGTTAAGATCGAATTTAATGAAAGGTGAACTGATTTGCCAATAGCTTTAAATATTTTACATTGCGAGTGAGAACATTTTAACGCCAACCTGAAGTAAGTATGAATATCATGTATATTTGTTAGAATACTTTGATGAACATCATGAATAACCACCTCTTAACGTAAATTTGATATTCATTCATTCATTCGTTTATTCTTGTAAGCTTGTAATCACCCGAGTAATCGGTTTTATCACATTTATGTGAAGCATTCTATTAACATGTGAACATTTATGAAAAACGTGAGCCAATCAAAGCCATTCAATTCTAGTGAATGCAAAAATTGAAGATCAAACACAAATGAAAAAAAAAATAATATATGTGAATACTTCTATAATTATTACACGTTAATTTCAGATTTGATTATATCAGTTATTTTATCTATTTGTTGATTAATTTTTTAAATTATATGCATAATTTATTGAATTTAATCTTAATCTAATCTAGAATAGAGGATATAATTTGTAAGTTGCTCCTTCTACGCTCAGGCAAACATCTATCCATTGTAATTTCACTCAACTTTTTAAATATTATCTAGAAGCCAATGAAAGCTTTCTGCTAAGGATGACGAATGAATAATTTTCACCGTTTTTTAAACATTAATTGAGGCCAAAGAATGTTATGCCAGGAAAGAGGCACGCACAGCATCTGGTGAAGAGGCAAGTCTTTTTGCTACTTGAAAATAGCGGCGTCGAGTGCCACGAACAGCACGGCTGCGACGTAACGGTAGACGAGATTGGGCATGCATACCGTTTGGCGAAGCTCCGTATGTTGCGGCTCTTGTTCTACATTAAACTAAGTGCATGGTAAGATTTCTTGGAATTTCGCCGATTATATTGGATGCAGGGATAACGAAACGTTGAATTTTCAGGTTCAGAATACTGAGAAAAGTTTTTAGTTAAAAAATTATTTGCTTGGTGACAGTACTTAACGCTGTAAAATGCATCGTTAGGTTTGCAGGCAAAATTTGCATGCAATGAATAATGTGAGAGTTTCAAATTTATTCAAATCTACTCATAAATAAGATGTGAAGCATTATTAGTGTTCAATTTGCATCTTATTCATTTATTCATTTAATTCCACATTTTTATTTTCGGTTTCAATTGATTTCAATTCGCATTTATTTATTTATACATCAATTAAATATTTCAATTGAGATCACCTAAATTGAAGTTGTATTCGATTTGTAGTAGAGTCTGGCAAATTTAAAAAACATAAAATGGTTCATGTAATGTGAAAACAACTGCATCAGAAGGTACAAAAAGAGTCTGTTCTTAATCATTGACAGAAAAACAACGATTTTTTTCAGGAATGCTTAAGTTCATTTTAATTATCCAAAACAAAACTATTACAGTCTCATATGGTAATTCTTTCGTCTTAGTTATCAGAATTAAGTTGAACCCTGACTCTAGAACGCATTCTTACACTTTAATTATACAGCTTGACAATTCATACTAATTTATCAACAGTCTTCTGACCGGAGGCAGTCCACAAAAAATATTTAGGCGTCTAAAAAAGTTAAAAAACACGAAAATATTGTAAAAAGTTTTAACGAATTATTCGGATCACTATTCTCAGTCTGGAAAAACCCTAAATAACTCCAATACTGGTTTGAATTTCAGTATTAAAATCATAGAAAGTTAATAAAACTGAGCGGTGCGTTTGCGACTCACCTTCCTTCAGCAGATCCGAGAGAAGTTTGAACCAAAAGGAGGTCACCGGACGACTTATATACTCCTCGTAACTCGAGAATACGTCGGAGCTCTTCGACTCAAGGTGCACGCATCCGAACAAAAGAATTAAGCTATTTTGGGAATAAATCGTAAAGCTGAGGCTTATAAAGAAATTTAAATAAAAAGGAAACTTGGAAAAAATAAATTTGAAAAAAGAAAGGACACAAGCTGGGGTAATTCATTACAATTAATGTCTATGAAGGTGTTTTATCATGCCCGCTGAAGTACTTTTACACGAGTCAAATTGCTGTTTTTTCAGAGCACTAGTGAATAGGGTTATGTGCACTGATGAATGTGTTACTGTGTACCTACCAATGAATGTCAAACTGTGTTACGGTGCTGAATGAATAATCGAATACATATAATAATATTAATAATAACGGTGCTTCAAAAAGTCCAAATGAATGATCCTGCTTCTAGCCAAACAATAGTATTAGATCACCCAACAGCGGTTCCTTCTGAAACCCTGCCGCACTGCCATCTCATGTGTCATCTCATGTGTCATCTCATGTGTCATCTCATGTGTCATCTCGCGTGTCATCTCATGTGTCATAAGATTCATATACACGTTGTGTCATCTCATGTGTCATCTCATGTGTTATCTCATGTGTCATCTCATGTGTCATCTTATGTGTCATCTCATGTGTCATCTCATGTGTCATCTTATGTGTCATCTCATGTGTCATCTCATGTGTCATCTCCTCTCAGACAACAGTGTCTTCTCCTACCCAACAGTGGAATCTTTTCACACTCCACTGTAGAATATTCTCATACCCCTAGCTCAGTAGCGTTTTCTCAGAGCGTGCATTGTTGCCGTTATATGCATCACAGTAATGTCTTGCCTTATCAAACACTGGTCATCTACGCTACTAAAATTAATTTTTAAATTTGAGCTGAAGAAATCCTGCAGCATGACGACAGGTAGCTGAATCTCTTTTATTGGATATTTAAGTATATGACATGAAGCTGATAAGATATGCATCATAAAAGTCACGAAAGTAATAAAGATTTTTTAAAATTAAAAAAATTAAAATGCATCGAATGAACGGCTAGTAATTTTATTCACATATATATGTTTGTAGATGACACACTCATGGATTGTCTGAAAATAATAACATTGTATTACGATCCAAATACAGTGGCAATTTGGCTAGTTAATTTTATCCATTCAACATTATCTATTTATGTTTGTATGCAGGCATCCATGACGTCCATTAAAAGTGTCACATGACTGTATTTTCATTAAGATAGATTCCGGAAAAATTAAATTGCTCCCAATATTCAACTTATGACATACGCAGTTACGAAGGAAAGCATTGACCCAGAAAGCCTCCACAACAACGAAACAATAACGTTAATAAATTTAAATCAATGTTTCTATTTGAGTTTTTACCAAAACTAAACATTTGTCAAGCTGTATTAAAGACATGCAATATTTATTAAGGACTCGTCATAACAAACAATTTTTACTATATTTTGATGTTGAATTAAATTAAGTAGACAATACTGCAATAAGACGACCAAAAAGTTGCGTTAATTTCTGGGTCCAGAGTTTTACTTTTACCAACGAACGATGTATCACCAATTACACTCCCGACCCTGTACGAGATTATTGATTATTAAGGACACTAAAGTTTTCTTTTCATTAGTTCCGAGAATCAAACTAGCATTATAAAATTTGACGTTGCTTGAAAAATCATAAAATTTTTGGGTTCTGAATTAGAAGAATAATACGCCGTTTCAATGTCTTTACCAGCTTCCATGAATCGGCGAACTTCAGTCCTGCACTTCATTGTTGACATTCAATTTTAACTGAATTTTTTTTTTATTTCTCGGCCTTTTTAATAATTCATATAATTTACTATCGCTATTACTTCTTCTGCATTGTACTGTACTTAAGGTCTATGATACAATTTTCTATTTCACAATCGTCAACATATTAACACTGCGACAAGCATTATTTATTTCATCACTGAGGTGCCAAAGCCTGAACCGTTAATAAGAACCACAAACACTCCTTTCTCATGCAGACCTCAACCACTTTCTCTCTGCCTTTGCCTCGCAATAAATTGTTAAGGAAACAAAGATCTACCTGCCTTTCTCCGATCGACTCTTTCGTGGGAATGCACCAATACCTTTGAACTTCGCATCGACGAACTTTTTTGCTATTGGGCGTTTCAACTTTCTATTGATTATGTAATAATTGGGTAAACGTAACAAATTGCCATATTTTGAGGTTCACAAATATTCGATTCTCAACGACTACAAACAAATGCTTGTTTTCACTGTTTGTGAACAATTTTCGTTTTAAATTTGAAACAGTTGTTAAAGACAGCAAATGACAGCACGATTATTACTTGCCTGATAATTTATGCAGATAGTGCATAATTATATGACGCGGCGTTTATACTGAATTGCTTATGTAGGGTCTTCAACAATCCATCTTGGTCAAATTGGGCTCGAATGCAATTGTTATTTTGCATGCATTTGAAATAACAAATGCATTCGAGCATTTGCTATTTCATGCAATTGAAAATGAAATGCATTTGTATTCAATATCGTTCGGAGATGATTCAATATCACTCAACCAGCATAATTCATCATCGCTACAGATACAATTGTAAGTCTTATCTGCTGTAGATTATGTCAACAATTGCCAAGACGCCCGTTAATCGAAAAATTGTCACGGTTTTTAAAAAATATAACTGCAACATTGAATAGCATTGAAAATTAAAAGCAGACGAGGATGCAGGACATTTGGTACTATTCCAAAAGTGTTGAACAATATGCAAACTTTCGCCGGTTACAGCAAAGAGTGCGTGAAACGCAAGATACAAGAGTTCGGTCACGACGTACTAGTTAATTGTCTAGAAACAACGTCAGGAATGCTGTTTCCTAGAGTTGTTAGTTAAGTTTTCTACTCTTCTCGAAATAGTAGCTTTCTTCAGGCCTTTTGTTGAAAATGTACCACAAGGAAAACGAGATTATATTTCTCCTTTTGAATGAAAGGCTTGTGAACTTTTTGACATGAAAGTATTTATTTTAGATTTTTATAAATAATAAAATTGCTTCAATATAAAAATCTGCTCGATGGCATATTTTAAACAGTATCAAATAATCAAGGGTGCAAATTAAATCTTGTAAAGCTAGAAGCTGGAAAAATTTTAATCTATCTTCATAGATTAGGAGAATCTCAAGTGTCAATTGGCACAAAATAATTTATAAATTTTTTACAAAATAATGTCTATGTTTAGTATCCGCTGTTGTATTTCAAGTAGAGTTTGTGAACAGAGTTTATAAACGAATGAATCCAATAAAGAAGGAATTCATTTGAATATCCTAATCAATCAGACTTCTACGTGTTATCTGATCGAATTAAAAAGAAGGAATTTATAATTTCTTCTCACTTAATATGAGAATATCTATTTTATTAATCTAAAAATACTCTACTTCAAACTTGCTGCCAGGAAACAATCGACATGCTACAACTATCTAAAATTAAATAATATTGGCTATTCGCTCGACACTTGAAACTATAAACATCCAATCGTATTAGATTTATAGATTCATAATCTTTTATTCCTGGAGGCTTTCTACCTCACAAATCGAATATGAAGGCACCATATAGTAGAGATGAAAACTTGGCTTACCAGTCACACGCATATAAAATGGCTGACTACTTTCACTCATCCTTAACCAATATTCTATTCTACTTCTATTTCTGAAGAGGCGCTGAAAGGATACTGAACCAAACTTGCTGCTAGTGAAACCTTCAAGATTTTTTAGCCAAGGACCGGGTTAAAAATTTCACTTAATGGCAAAAACTGGTGATCCAAGTCCAGACTTGTGCCGTACCATACAAGGGCTTATCTTACATGCAATATTCGGTGAAACTTTTAAGCTCTCACTTTCTGAAGTCCAAAAACGCTTCTCTTGAAATAGGAAGCTCTGTTATAGTATTAGTTAAAAAACGGTGACGATCTCGCTTGTTTAGTTGTCATGAATTGTATGTAAATAAAGAGAAAAAGCTTATCAGATGACTGGTGATATTGATATATTGAGAATTTTAGGAATGCAATAACGATTCTTTTTCAGTATGCTAAATAGTTGAATCATGAAGACAATAATAGTGATCCTAAACTAGCAAATAAATATGTTTACAGAATTTCGCTAAATAATTGCACTTTTTCAATAAAGTGAGTAGGAATTCGAATAAAAGTTCTTCTTGTAGCTTGACATTAAAAATTTCACTATATTTCATTTTTTATTCAAATTTTCATGAAACGGTAGAGGGGAGCCTCTAGGTTTCAACTATAATTAGTTTTTAGAAATTAAAATGCTAATTATAAACATTAATATCATGAATCTACAAAACTCTTCTCATTGTACGTGGCTTGCTGACAAAAACCTCTCGTGTTTTAATCCACCAAAATTGTATGATGAACAACTGTTTTCACTTTCAGCCCAACTCCACATATGAAAGTAGCTCTGTTATTGTTCTATGATACTCTATTTTAGGAGTTTTATTGCTATTGTATGTAATAAAGCAGCGGCATGGAAAAATAGACGTCACCATCAAAATAAAATACAAAATAATCTATTTTAACCACAAACACTTAATAATTTGATGAAAATTTGAATAAATGAAATAGGACAACGACATGACAAGGATTTCAGTAACGTGTAATGGTTAAATCAATTTAATTCTGTATATCTCAGTATCGAATAAAATCTTGATGCAATAGGCTTGACTCAGTATCGCTTCAGTTTGCTTGATTGCATTTGCTTTTAATTTCGGCAGTTAGAGTTAGCATATTAATGGGATGTAATTATATTTGTCACGCGTGGCCTTAAGATATTTTAGATATTAGGCTCAGTGCATAATGAATAATTGAACAATTTTTGGTAGAAATTACCCATTAATATTTGGGATATATTAAAATTGCTATGTGCTTGTCTAATTCAATGAATTGGATTATAATAAAGGCAAAACCAATTAGCTTTAATTCGCAGCAAG